TTTGTCGTCTATAGCAATCATGTTATACACCTTGGGTTGCTATGTGTAGAAATCACGACGGTTGACGACATGTCTCGCTCACGACATGCTTTCAGTGTGATGCGGGCTTTAGCTTTTAGAATTTCTATTTATAGTTTCGACTCGTATAAACTTTTGCTGTGATGTGTGTTATTCACAATGTTTGTGATCGTGACTTTAGTTAGAGGTGAAATAATTGTTTAGGTGATATTGTATAAGTTTACGTTTATGTTTCTTACTGTTTGATGTCTTATCATATTGTTCTTGTACACCTATATCTACCTCTATACATCTGTATCTATATCTTCTTCTATACATACATATACATATTATAAAACTGTAGAAGTAAATTCTGTACTAAGAAAATATAAAAAATAAATACTCCATAGACACCGAATACAAAAATGTGATTAAAAAAATGGTGTGTCTGTCTGTATATTCACGCATCACGCCAAAACTACTAGTTTGATAACGATGAAACTTAGTAGGATTATACTTTAATATCCTGGACACAACATTGGGTACTTTTTATACCGAAAAAGTATATACACGAAAAAACAAACTTAATTGTGTGGCTCAATCCCTAGACACAGTTACAATACTAAACGCAAATATAAGTTGGTCGAATGTTAGGTTGCCCGCAGTACACTTTACGCTGTAACTGTAGGATCAATGGTTAAAATTAGCTTATACCGATATTATAAATGTAAAAATATGTGTGTTTGTATAGACAACCACACATGTTTTTATGTAACTGAGTAATAGTACTCAGTTATATAAAAATGGTTGAAAAACTGGGATAAAATTTGGAACACAGTTAGGTGATCTGAGTAATACATAGGCTATTTTTACCCCTGGGTAGTAATCTGCTGGTCAAAGACCATGTCGAAAATTGACATGAAATCTGACTTTGAAACGCTAACAAAAAATGTTAAAGCACTAATACCCCACGTCAAAAATCACAGCACCATAAATAAAATTTAGCTTTAAAAATTCTACACTAAAATCTTTAAAAAGTAAAGCTTCGTTCAACAAAACTAATAACAAGTTTCAAAGTGACATGCTGAGGAAAAACATGAACCGTTCACACCTAGTTTGGTTGGAAGCTGTATGCACTGTTATACCAACCTAACGAGATACGACGTTGCTTTTAGAGTTATTTCCCGGGGTTGCAGCGGGCTAAAGAAAAGACGTCATTATTTACGTAAATTGCCCTCCTTGTGAAGCGCATTGTTTACAAAAGAAAGTAGGTAGTAAAGGTGCATAGAGAATAAAGGTTGTGCCGAAATTATGTTTCTTTTAATATTTTTTTTTTTGGTGTCATTTGTTCATTCTTCCTACTTGCTTTTATCTAATCTTTCTAGATGGATAAGGTAAAAATTAAATCTAAGCGTGTTTCGTAGATTTTTTGTTACTTCTTGTTTTGACACTGGTTGGTTTTACGTATTTTACTAAGATATTTTTAATTTTTTTTCCTACCTAGGTACTTCAAGTAATGTACTAATAATTATTCACTAATATAATTATAAGTGTGGGAGAGCCATGCTTCGGCACGAATGGGCTGGCTCGAACGGAGTGATACCACGGCCTCACTGAAAACCGACGTGAAACAACGCTTGCGTTGTGTTTCGTCATCTGAGTGAGGTTACCGGAGGCCTAATTACCCTCCCCCCTGTTCCCCAATCCTTGATCCCAAACAATCTTCAAATTCCTAATCCCAAAAGGTTGGTAACTGGTAACGCACTTGCAACGCCTTTGGTGTTCCAGATGTCCATGGGCGACGCCGATTGCTTACCATCAGGTGATCTGTCTGCTCGTTTACCGGCTTATACAACAAAAAATTTTAAAAGAAAGTATTTAAAAAAATTATACATAGTATTCTCTTTTGCAGCCCGTAGTGGTTATCAAAGCTTATTGTCTATGTCGTAGCGTGCTACGAAATGACTGACGCTTTAAAATATTTTAGTAAATCATACAATTATTATACATTTTCAAGTTAATAATGTCAGTTTTTAATTAATTGTACAGATTTGTGAGTATGTGAAAAAAATTAGTTATTTCTGGTATTTGTTAAGAGATTTTAGCAATCTGAAATACTTGTTGTATCCGACTTGAGAACCAACCTCAGACCTCTTTCCTTCCGCGGTCGTAGACTAAAAGGGAAACTCAAATTCATTAACGAATAAATACCGCACATTTTCACCTCCACACGAAAACCACTAATCAGGACCCAAGTCACATCCGCGTACTTCTCTAATAACAAGAAACATTCCCAATATAATACGAATCAAACGGTAGCTAAGAATCCAATACAAAGTTTCCGAAGCAGTTTCATCCCGCATCTTTCATGTCCTCCACTAGAGATAGCGGCTATCGACAAAACGATAGATTGCGCTCCTTCCCGTCTATTGATTTTTGGTAGGTAAGGGGTAATATTTGCCGATTTTTGTTCGGACTCACAGTTGTGTAAGGATTGACCAGCCATTCAGTTCGGTCTCAGCTTTCAAGTCACTTCGAATTTGTTGGGTTTTGTTTATCTCTTTTGTTCGTTGGTATACCTCAGCGTTTTATTACAGGAACAACCTGGAATTGTATACCTATGTATAGTTATTTTTGCTAGAATAAAATCCTACAATGACTGAATTTGGAGAACGAGTCCGAAAGTTCATTCTTAGCAGCTACGTAAGCAAATACTCAAACTCCAAAGCAATTGATTAAAACATTTTCTTACGCTGATCAATAAGTTTTAGCGAAAAAATAACTCGTCCAAACATATCATTGTCCAATTAAACCCCATAACACGAGTTTTCTTAAGAATAATGGTATCGGTTTCCGTTTCGGCCGCTGATTTTAATCTCGGCGAAGACCGATCCCCTTGAATCTTAGGTAAGACATGTAAGTCGCCGTCCCGGGATACTCTTTAGATAACGAGCGAAGTTCCACCTAAAGATCTTGTAAATGTTCCTTCGCCGCAGCCAGAATTCGTAATTCAACTTCCATTTTGCAAGGACCCATAAAAATAATGTTTTATAAAAGACGGTGATAAGGTACTCCACTTAGTTGTTTACTGCTTCTAGATTGCTGTTTTATTAAGACTTAGTTGACAAATAAACGGAACTAGAATATTTTGAACATATCTAGACTAGATTTCCACAAATCTGTAAGGCAAATGAGTTTTCGAAGCTTACATTTGTTAAAAATAATCCTTGAGAAAGAATGTCTGCAAAGTTGATCGTCGTTTTGGACTTCAATTTATCCTATTGGTTTAACCAAGTCGATTCAGAATTTAGTACCTATATATCTTTAATTGCCTGTGTGGTTGGTGCAGTGGCATGGCTACTGAGCCATGCATGGGTTTAATTCCCACACGGAACAATTCTTTATATTTCACCTTATATTGTTATTAACTTATACCAGACTTATAGTAAGGTAAGCTTCTTGTGAAATTTAAATGTTTCAACCAAAATTATAATATCATTCTCAGTAATTTCAAACTGGAAATGTCTCCAAACATTTGAAGCGAAGCGTAAATGCAGTGTTCATTAGAATTCAAACAATCTTTCACGTTAACATTCAACTAACATACATTTAAACACGTAGAAGCAGTCTCCGTATATTTAGTAAAGTCAACAGTTGCTGGCGCTCGGTTAAAAGAGAAGACGTGAGCCAACGTAACGAGGAGTCCAACCAAAAACCGAGAGCGAGGTGACCTCCCTCAGGTACAAGAAAAGGGAGGTACTCACAGACCATTAACTGGTCACTAGTCACAGTGACCCGCCAAAACTGCACTTATAGAGCTGTTTCAGCGTCTCGTAAAATGTAATGTCTTTCAGAAGGTATTTGGCTCCACATTTTTGTCGATATGCGAATTTGATTGGAACTTTGTTAGAAGGATTTTAGCGAGGATCTTAGAATATGTTTGACCGTGTGTGGTAACGTATATGAGGTAATCGTGATTTATGTAAAAGGAGATAGAGTTTACTGTCGACAATAAAATAAGGTTGTCTTTCAGGTACTTAATGTAAGCGAAATAATGCTTTATGCTAAAATTTACACCGAACTGTATTAAAAGCATATATTACGAAGTACATTAGTAGAATATTGAACAATATTACCTATAATATAAATCGTAACTTAAATATTAGCAACATTAAACATTTATTTCTACACAGACTTACTGAACGACATTCTTTGGAATCCAAACCAGGATTGCAAAGAAACAGAACCTCGAAGTCTATGTGTATAATAACAATGTTATAAATCGCGCGGTTTGAATTTCATATTACACTATTTTCGAGGGCGTATTCCGGTCACAGTCGAGTAAGTTCAGTCTCTTTACGGCGATACATTTATATCCATTTATTTGGCGAATATCCCTCGCTGTGAGCCACCAACGACGGAACGAACGGATGGGTACGTTTCTATTGCCTTTGAGATATTTCATTGACTTTTACAAATGCGAATGCCTGAGTGTCATTGGGATCGAATCTTGGTGTAGAATAAATTGCGTCCATAACATTGAATTCGCCCTTTTGTAGGGATATGTTATAGCAAATAGGAGCAATGTGTCTGACCGTCTGACGTTTATATGTGTTTGTCTTTATTTTGTTTCGATTTTCTGACTTTAATTCGACAGTTTGTTTTATCACTCTTTTAATAATATTACCATTGCAGAATTTTGAAGTAATTATAATTTTACGTGGTCTTGACTTACGATAAATATGTAAGTATATTAAAATACCAAGTAATCCCGATGTTTGGAGGGCGTGACCAGGCCGGCCGCAGTCGGCCAGCGAGCCGGTGACAGGGAAAGGGTCGACCTACGAAGCCGGAGGCGTGTTATCATGGTAATTATGACATCCCAAAAGAAACTCCCCGCATCCAGCGGTAGTTTTTACGACTGCCCCAACTCTTTACGATGACATTTGCAGATAAGACTCGGAAATTGTGTTTTTATTGAAATTTCACGGATCCACATCAGCTAGATAAGATTGATTCAATCTCTCAGTAGCAGCCATTGAAGATAAGCATTTGAAGAAGAATCGCAAAACAAATCATTTATTATGAACAATGAAGAACTGTTTTGTTCTGGAAGTGATACTGTTATATTTAATTTCTCATGTTAAAATGGATAATAATTTTGTATTCAAATTAAAAGATGCGCCACAACTCTACAAGGATTTCACTAAGAGATACCATCGGACGTTTCAAAGTGAATATGACTACAATCAGCGATACCTGAATTTCATTCAAACTTTGAGGTATATAAATAGTATAAATGCACAAACATTCACACAACAAAAGGTCTTGCCAAATCAATTTGCTGATTATTCTGACGATGAAAGAAGAGACTATTTGAGAAAAACAGCGAAACGCATAGACCCTGAACTAAGAATGATATTGAGGATGAATGAAGACCCAGAGTAAGTATAGTAATATCCATTTAAATTAGCTTGCCAATGTTACACTATTATTACGGGTAAGGAGTTATTGTACCACAATCAGACCTGGAACTTTTTAGTATCCACACAAACGCTAAGGTATCACAATCAGGGAGGCATTCACTTTCAACTAACCAGCGCTAATGTTTGTCTTCAGGGAAAGCAAGGAAGAGTTACTTCGAACTCAGCAGACGGAAAGAACGGGTTATGGTATACGTTCATATGCATAATTTGATAAAGAGTGGTTAATCGAGTAGGGGAATTAATAAACGAAATTAATAAATAGGTATTGACATCAATTTATTCCCGTCAATGGCACCACATTGAATGAGATTCCCTAAATACTCCTTTAAACCCACAAGAAACTGGTAGCCAGGCTCAAAGCGGTCAAATAAGTAACTGAAACACTGAGGCTGTAACAGAACTGTTCAATTCCTACCAAATTGTTCGGATTTCCGGCTAGATGAGAGCTCTCCCAAAGGGTTAAGCTAGTTTTGAACTTTATGTTTGTATTCAAGCGGCGAAGTTGTCATAAATATTGGAGCCTCTGCTTGTCTAACTGGGGAGAACTACATCAAACTGCTTTGTTGACGCAAAAGTTGGGGCAGCTCAATATCCTGTTCCTCGTAAAGTGAGGGATTATGAGGCCCCAAGTAATTGTTTACGATAATACGGCGATACTTCTTTCTACAACAAACTCGTAATCCTTAATGATTTCATTTCTGGTAAAAGCTACCCTTTCTTTGGATTGCCATTAAATTAATTCACTTTTAATCGGCCTCATGAACGCCAAATCCACGTAACGAGTAAAGAGATATAAAACAAGAGGTTGTAACACCATTTCATGCTCATTTTCAACTTCCAATTTTAGAATTTCATAAAGGTTGCTAGCGAATACCAAAAAATGTTAAAATCATTTTGAATATGAAGCTTCAGAATTTAATATAACATATTTTTAGTGCCTAATATAAATAAGATTGGTAATATCCGAAAAAGCGAGATATCAAAAGTTTTAAGCTTTCTTTTGTTCTATTGGACACAGAGTAACATAATCCGCGTACGATGGCTCGTTTGCGGTGGCTGATGCCTTTGAGAAATTGTCACGCCAAAGATTTAGGGGTCCTAAAGCCGTCTGTCTGCCGAGACAAACATTTTCAATAACCCCGACTAAATGAAGTGTGTGAAACTTTTATTTCTTTCAATCGCTTTATTTTAATGGTCAAAGGGATTGTTGAAAAGCCTGATAGCATCGCGTAAATATTTGTGTAAAAATGAAACTCGTGGAATTATTTCATAAAGTAATTGGCGCTGCTGTTTCGTGTGTATCGTGTTCGTGATATATTCGCCGCTTCACTGGGTTGTGTTGTTAAGCAATTTTAGTACGCACATAAAATGAGTAATGTTAAATGATACGGAATAATATCGAAATATACTTTTTCATTAATTAGTAGACTCAGTTCTCTTTGGAGACCGATAATTTGTACAAGAAAATAATGTAACACAGATCACATAGATGTACAGATATCTGGAATGTCATATTATCAATTGAATTGAGTAATCTAGAACTATTTGATAAAAGATATGACTTAGGTATATCTTAAAAAATCTTTAAACTCTTTACAATTTTCTTCTTTGCTGTGTTTTTAAGGTTTAATCTGGTTTATATATAAAACTAATGACTGCCTCGTTGGCCCAGTGGTCGCAAGTGCGACTGCGACTGCCGGGCAAGGATCATGGATTCGATGCCTGGGTCGGGCAAAGTATTACTGTTTTTTTTTATTCTCAGTAGCAGCACGGAGCCTGAAATTGTACCCAGTATATGGCAATAGGCTCACACCTATTACATAGGACTCATAACATAAATAGTTTTTATAACATTTAACATAAAAATACCAATGAACTGCTTAATAAGAAGAAATCTATAATTCAAATATCAAACGAATCACAAGCCCCTTCAATAAAAAAATAGCAAAAAAGAGACGTAACACCTAAAAGATTAGACTTAAAATTAGCTAACCAACTAACGTATTCAAATTTTATCCTAAAAACGTTCCAGTTTGCCAAAGTCTACGTGCACCAGCTACTCGATAACCGTTCGGTAACCATCGCTGTCTATTGAACGTGACTTTTTCCGCGGGAAGACAAAAGCAGCCCCCGATGCATTTTTCACAGGAATAGATTTTACGCCGGGAAAATTTGCAAATTTTTACACCGACACGCGCGATGCGGCGACTTGAGTAATATTCGACACTTGATTACTTTGCTCATTTTATGCTCTCTGATATTCTGATCGCATATTGCTATATAAGATTTATTGAGAAAGAATAGTGAGAAATATAGCTGGTGATATTTCTTCATCTTGTTTCTTTATTGTGTTTCCCAAAGTAATATGAACAATGTACATTTTGTTAATCGCAATTATTTCCACAATCGGTGACTTTGAGAGCCGTCGGATCTAAATAACCAGTCGGAGACAATGGATACAAATTCAATTAAACCCCCCCTTGCCCAATCTCCCCAATACTGGACACCCTAACGATCTTCAAACTCCTAATGCCCAAAAGGCCGGTAACGCACTTGTAACACTTCTGGTGTTCCAGGTGTCCATGGGAGACGCCGAACATCAGGTGACCCGTCCGCTCGTTTACCGGCTTATGCCATAAAAATTGGATAGAGGTTTTGACTCTGCCAGCCTTGACGGCATCTTCCATGGATAAGTAACATTGCATGACTTACACAATACACAATATGACGATATCTTTTCTTTGAACAAAACAAAACTCCTTTTCTGTTTAAAAATCCAAAAATCTAAAATACTGAAAACAAATAAGAAAAAATATTCGTTCCAAATAATAATCTTATTAAGTTCAAAAATCCCTGGTTTCCGTGGTATAGCCAAAATAATATCGAGATTACCTTTAAAAGCCGAAAACGGATTGCGATTCTGCGTGGCTAATGTACTAAACTTTGACCTTCACGGGAGATAAATGCCAAACGTAATCCTGCTTGAAAATATCCCGGAGCTTCAAATAGGCAAAAGAATAACATAAATCGTAATAACATCTATAAATGTTATTTTTTCTCATCATACACGCTTGTGTAATGTCAGTAGAAATTGTCTTTTTGGGTTAGTTAATCTGAACTTATATGTATGTAGGTAAGGTTGGTTTGTATTTCTAGGTCGGAATTTAATGTTATTTTATGTAATTTAAGGTTAACTATTTAGGAAAAGGCAATAAAACCCAAGAGGCACCAATGTATGTACAATTTGTTAATATCAACCTCTTCAACCAATAAAATCCTTTCCGTAGTCATTCTTGACTTGATTTTTGTACATTTTTTAACTTTTTCGCATAGTGTCTGTATAGCTTATGGATTATCTAACACCAAACGCATATTTACATTTAAAAAGAAACCACGAGATAGACCCAAAAACTTGTAACCACCTTTGCTGACCCTGACATGTACCCTTGTACATGTACCAAATAAACATAACATAACATCACACCTTTTATTCCCGAAGGGGTAGGCAGAGGTGAACATTACGGCACTTAATGCCACTGTACAATGTAACACCAACTTTTCACTATTTATATTATCAGTCTCTTTTAATAGGGGATGAGCGTATTGCCATATACCGGGCACAATTCCAGACTTCGTGCTACTACCGAGAATTTTTAAAAACTCAGTAAAACTTTGCAAACCCGAGGCCCCTTACCCAGCAGTCGCACTTGCGACCACTCGGCCAACGAGGCAGTCAAATAACCAAATAAATAAATAAATAACAAAATAATTAAAATCACATTCAAGAGAGATATGTATGTTTTTCTTTACAGTCAATTTCATGTTTGGTCAGTTATTGATAAACTTAACCCTCTATACACAGCAGTCGGTATTTGCTTACATGTCGGTATGAACGCGGTTTACCGCAGTTAATCAACGTCCATCAGAGAATATCATATGTGAGTATACAATATGTATTTGACGTCTGTTTGTTAGCTTTTAATACTATCTCTTTTTACACAGAAAAGTTTACCATTTGTAAAAATATTTTATATACGCGTGTTCGCGTGAAAGATTTTTTTTCAGATCATTTTTTGTTGTTGAACACTTTCGTTCAAGGAATAACAAATATTATTGAAGCCTTTCAAAAATACTTCCCATTATTTAATGATAAAAAATTAAAAACTACTTATTTTGGTTGCTGATATTTGAGCGTTGTTCCGTGCGGGAATCGAACCCGCGACACGTTGCGCGGCAACCAGTTGCCTAATCATCGCGCCAACCGTGCATCGGATATTATTATCATAATTAAAATTTTACTTGATAAACATATTCCAAAATTACTCTGATAAATTGGAAATATTGATATTATAGCACTCCACAGCGTCCCATCGCAGCACTTAAAACAATCAATTAACACGCCATAACACTAGACACATCACAACATAACAGCAGCATATCGTTTGCGCGATAATTATAATTGAAATTAAATTAATTCCACGAAAACATTTTCCGATAATCTCGCGTTGAACCATAAAACGATTTAAAGCGCAATTTTGACTCAATTCATTTGCAACGGGTGTTCAGTAAAGTTCAATGTTGTATGAATGAATACGTCATCATAGTGTATAAAGAGGTGTGTGGTGGTTCACAAAGAGGAATTTCTCTCGGTCCACATTAGCGGCGGTTTCCTGAAGCATCGAATAAATGTGGGCAATTTGCGAGAACGTTTATCACCTAAAGAAAAGTTCTGGCGACGTCTGTAACTGCCGTAATTCCGCGCCGAAATTCGAGGGTTAATCACGTTGGCCATACATCAACGCTTTATTTAATACGTGCAACTTTGTTTGGGACTTAGTTCACACCCGTCCGCCGGCCATTGTGTGATGTTTTTATAGCTGCTAGATATTATTTTGAGATCGCCATTGTTTGGCATAAATTATAGCCACTAGGCACACATAAATATGGAATTTGGAGCAGCCTGTTAAAATATTTTGTATTGGATACCGTTTTGTCAGGCTTGCATTGATGCATGAACCGCGGTTAATGCTTGGAAAACTCAAGCTTTTATGTTGCTACCACATAAATTTATTTTACGGCAAAGACTTATTATTATTGTTGACACACGGACAATATAGTACACACCGTTTAATTTATTAAAACTGACAAAGTTAACACGCCATTCATTCATCAATATAAAAAACTCAAAGCACGAGTAAAATACCTAAGATAGCAAACAGAAACAACATGTAAAACATGAACCAAGTTCTGAGTCCAACATTGAGTTGACGAACTCAAAATTTGGCATAAAACTCAAGAAACGGAGCACTTAGTCCCAGTACTTACTATGTTGCGGCTGGTTGGGTAAACTGTCCTGGGTTTAACTTGTGTTACAACTTTGAAAGGTGATTAAACAAGAAGTATCAGCATGTTTGTTAGTAAACTGTGTACATCACTCGTTTTTATTACGAACTGAGTCGAGTCAAGCGGTCAAACAACTATCAGCTGGACGGCAGTTTATGTACCCGTTTGTCTTTTTGGAGTGACTTTAAAATACATTGTTGCTGCTGTAAAGGATGACACCATAAGTAAAATGAACTCAAATGATTGTTCAGACTAAACGAATGAAAAATGTGCAAGTCTTGTTTTTAGCGTGAGCTTATTTAGATGCTGGGTTTTATAAAAAATTCTAAGTTGTAGCACGGAGTCTGAAATTGTGCCCGGTATATGGCAATAGGCTCACCCCCTATTACATGGAACTGATTACTAAAATAGTGAAATGTGAGTGTTACATTGTACAGTGCCATTAAGTGCTGTAATGTATACCTCTACCTACCCTTTCGGGGATAAAAGGCGTGATGTTACAAAGGTCTTATGT